TGTTGAAACTGATCAGTTTCAGCAGCGGCTGAATCTGGATGCCAGTTCCGACTTACATACAGATTCAACTTAAGAACAAACCTACAGTCCCTATCTTGTATGTAACCCGTGGACTGCCTGTGCACTCCTGTGCAGATCCTGTTTGAGAAGGGAAATCTGTCTGCTGACACCCACGAGATATTAAAGGGCTCACTGTCTTCTCCCATTCAAGAAGGCATGATCTCTGGCACCCAGTTCTGGAATGCATCTAAAACATTGAAAATTCTAATTGAAGAGGGATACTTTGAGGATAAGCAAAATGTTGATAATGGGTTTATTTTGCCTCCTGTGATCAAATCTATCACATTAGAAAGTGACTCTATGTCTACAATGCAGAACTTTTCCAGGATACCAGAGGTATCCTGGAAAAGTTCTGCCACGTCCAGGAAATGTGCCCACTTTTTCAAAACTGTTTCTGAAAAAGTGCACATGTTCTTTTGGCATCCCTGTATTACTCATTGTATGAGGAAGAAGTGATGTTCCAAAATAGGAGGTTTTTCCAAAATTTGGCCGAGTGTAGATGGGCCAAATTTTGGAAAAGCCTCTTCTGGAAAAAAAAGAGGAAACTTTTTCCAACTTTTCTTTGCAGTCTAGACATAAAGCCTGGGTCTTGCTCCTGCCGAAAACTGTGGGTTAGCTCTGTCAGCTCTTGGTGGATGTGTCTTTTACCTCAAGAAATGCCTTATTGATTAGGAGCGCTTATCTCTGGCAAACTTTGAGGCGTATGTTCCTATGGATATTGATGTTACAAAAGCTAAGGGATCAACAGTGTTTTTTGCTAAAACTAATCAGTGGCTGGTGCTGGATGGGGTTACGCTAACAAACTTGGAAATCCTGCAGAATGGAACTACTGGCACTACAGAAGGCACGTTACTGGAAAGGTCTGACACTTGTTGTACTCCTTTTGGAAAGCGACTCTTGAAACGGTGGATATGTGCACCCCTCTGTAATCCACATTCTATCAATGATCGTGTGGATGCAATTGAAGATCTTGTAGCAGTTCCTGATAAAATGTTTGAAGTTAGTGAATGCCTGAAGAAACTTCCAGACCTTAAAAGGCTCCTGAACAAAATTCACAGTATTGGATCACCACTTAAAAGTGATACTCATCGAGACAACAGGGCTATTTTTTATGAAGAAGCAGAACCCCCCCCCTCCCCCCAAAAAAAGAGATTGCTGACTTCTTGTCTGCGCTGGAAGGATTTAAAATAATGCTTGAGACCATAAAGATTATGAAAGAAATTGCTGATTTCAGATCTAATATACTTAACCAATTAGTCACCCTCAAATCTAAAAATTTCAAGGGTAGTTTCCCAGATCTGAGCGCAGAATTTAAAAGATAGGATACTGCCTTTGATTATAATAAGCAGAGGTGGGGAACCTAAGGCCCAGGGGCTACATGCAGCCCCCGGCTTGCCTGGTTCTGGCCCCCAACCCTCTACAGTGCTTACAGTGACCAACCCATCCTTTACCTTCTATTTATGACCTTTCTTCCACGAATGAGAAGCTATCCCTTCAGACTCATTGGGTCCTGAAGATCATTTGATCAAGGTACACCATCTCATTCTCCTCACCACCACTCCTTCCTGTCCTTTTCAAGGACCCCTCTCACATGCTGTTACTCCTTTTAGAAGTGTAGCACAGTGCTTACAGTGACCAACCCATCCTTTACCTTCTATTTATGACCTTTCTTCCACGAATGAGAAGCTATCCCTTCAGACTCATTGGGTCCTGAAGATCATTTGATCAAGGTACACCATCTCATTCTCCTCACCACCACTCCTTCCTGTCCTTTTCAAGGACCCCTCTCACATGCTGTTACTCCTTTTAGAAGTGTAGCACCTTATCCACCTTGGAGCCATAGAAACAGTACTTACTGAGCGTAGGGGGAAAGGGGTTTTATTCCTGTTGCTTCTTGACTGAAAACTAAAATGGGGATGACTACCCATTCTAGACCTCTGGGGTCTGAACAAATATGTATAAAAACAAAAATTCAGGATGGTCTCTCTCTCTCCACAATAATCCTAGCACTGGCACAGGACGATTGATTTTTCAGCTCTTGACCTCCAAGATGCATATTTTCACATTAATACCTACTTGGCGCACGGGTGCTTCCTCTGATTTACACTTGAGAACACCGTTATCTATGCACTGCCTTCCCTTTGGTTTCTCCACAGCACCCTGAGTGTTTTCAAAGCTACTGGCAATGGTTACAGCATATTTAAGGACCCAAGACCTAATAATCTTCCTATACCTGAATGATTGTCTGCTGAAATCTCTAGCCCATTCTCACACTCTCCATGCAGCAAAGTTGGACCTACAAATAAATAGAGACATGTTAATATTAACACACCCAACAAATCCACTTCATAGGTGCCTTTCTCGACTCCATCACTGGTTGAGTCTCACTGCCACAGGAAAGATTCAGAGCAGTCTGCGATCTCGTAAACATGAGCCCACAGGTCACTGCCTGCATCTACTGGGACACACAACAGCCTCCGCCTTTGCTGTCCACAATGCCCATCTGCACATAAGATGCCTTCAAATCTGCCTGGCTTCAGTATGCAAACAAGAAATGGCACCAACTCCTACAGTCAAGGACTCATTATTACTGTGGTGGACCTTCACGCTACAAATATGAGAAGGGGTTCCATTTGAACAAGAATCCCCCACAATCACCATCACAACTGATACATCCCTCACAGGACAGGGAGCACACATAGGACAAACCACAATGCAGGGACCATGGTCCATTTCTGAAACCCCCTCCACATCAACCTCCTTGAGCTCAGAGCTATACTGTACGCCCGCCTCCACTTCCTTGCTATCATCAATTATTGCAATATAAGGATCATAACAGATAACGTAGCATGCATGTTCTAAGTGAACAGACAGGGTGGGGCCTCGTTCCCTCTCCAAGGAGGCCATCAAACTCTGGAATTTGTGTCTCAAACATAACATCACCGTATCCGCCGTATAGCTGTCATAGAATTGTAGGGTTGGAAGAGATCTCAGGAGGTCACTGAGCCCAACTCCCTGCCCAGAGCAGGACCAACCCCATCTAAATCATCCCAGCCAGGGCTTTGTCAAGCCGAGACTTAAAAACCTCCACGGATGGAGATTCCACCACCTCCCTAGGTAACCCATTCCAGTGCTTTACCACCCCCCTAAGGAAATAGTTTTTCCTGATATCCAGCTTAGGCCTCTCCCACTGCAACTTGAGACCATTGCTCCTTGTTCTGCCAACTGACACTATTGAGAACAGCCTCTCTCCATCCTCTGTGGAACCTCCCTTCAGGAAGTTGAAGGCTGCTATCAAATCTCCCCTCGCTCTTCTCTCCTGTAGACTAAATAAGCCCAAATCCCTCTGCCTCTTCTTGTAAATCAAGTGCTGTAGCCCCCAAATCATTTTTGTTTCCCTCCACTGGACTTTATCCAATCCTTTCTGGAATGGGTGGCCCATAACTGGACTAAATACTTCAGATGTGGCCTCATTGAATAATAAAGGGGAATAATCACTTCTGTAGGGCTGCTGGCAATGCTCCTCCTAATGCACTCTAATATGCTGTTGCCTTCTTGCCTACAAGGGCACACTGTTGGCTTATATCCAGCTTCTCATCCGCTGTAATCCCCAGATCTTTTTCTGCTTAACTGCTGCTTAGCCAGTCGGACCCCAGCCTGTAACAATGCTTAGGATTCTTCCGTCCCAAGTGCAGGGCTATTCACTTCTCCTTGTTGAACCTCATCAGATTTCTTTTGGCCCAATTCTCCAATTTGTCTAGGTCACTCTGGATGCTATCCTTACCCTCCAGTGTATCTACCTCTCCCGCTAGCTTACTGTATCTGCAAACTTGCTGAGGGTGCAATCCATACCCTCATCCAAGTCATTAATAAAAATGTTGACCAAAACTGGCCCCAGTACTGACCCTTGGGGCACTCCGCTTGATACCAACTGCCAACCTGACATTGAGCTGTTGATCACTACCTGTTGAGCTCGACAGTCTAGCCAGCTTTCTGTTCGCCTTACGGTCCATTTATCTAATCCATACTTCTTTAACTTGCTGGCAAGAATACCGTGGGAGACCAAATCAAAAGATTTGCTAAAGTCAAGGTACATCACATCCACCACCATCCTCGTATATATAGTGTCAGTTACCTTGTCATAGAAGACAGTCAGATCGGTCAGGCATGACTTGCCCTTGGTGAATCTATGTTGACTATTCCTGATCACTTTCCTCTCTTCCGTGTGCTTCAAAATGGATTCCTTGAGGATCCCTTCCATGGTTTTTCTGGGGACTAAGATAAGGCTGATCGGTCTGTAGTTTCCTGGATTGTCCTTCTTTCCTTTGTTGAAGATGGGCACTATACTTGCCTTTTTTCAGTCATCCAGGACCCCCCACCCCGATTGCCTCAAGTTTCAAAGATAATTGCCAATGGCTGTACAATCACAACAGCCAGCTCCCTTAGCACCCTCAATTGCATTACATCCGGCCCCATGGGTTTGTGTATGTCCAACTTTTCTAAATAGTTCATAACCTGTTCTTTCTCCACTGTGAGGTACCCACCTGCTTCCCATACTGTGGTGCCTGGTGCAGTAGTCTGGGAGCTTTTCCCACATCATCTGTCACTAGGTTACCTCCCTCATTCAGTAACTGTCCCACACTTTCCCTAACCGCTCTCTTATTACTAATGTGCCTGTAAAAACCTTTCTTGTTACCCTTCACATTCCTTGCTAGCTGCAATTCCAATTGTGTTTTCACCTTCCTGATTACCTTCTCCGGGGCGAGAAAAGCTGCTCCGAGTGCCCCTGGTCTGCTGGGGACCGTCTCCAGCAGACCAGGGATACCAGGAGCAAAGCCGGGGAGGCGCAGGACTCCGCCGTCGCTGCGGCTTTGCTCCCGGTGTCCCTGGTCTGCTGGGGGGGGGGCACAGCTAGTGCGCCCCCTCCCAGCAGACCAGGCTTTTGTTGTGGACCCTGGGGTAGAGCAGCTGGGGGGGTGCCGGGGT